GAAAATGTATAAAAGCAAACCTGTCATGTTAATAATATGTGGGGTGCCACTACTGACCTCCCTGTGAAATGTCTAGTTGTTGGCTGTTATGATTATCCTCTGGTCTTTGTCAGTGAACTAGAACAACCCCCCCCTTAAAATCCTAAAATCCATACCAGACCCATATCTCGTATAAGGTAAGATGTCCCTGACCTCTGGGCACTGTGCATACAAAGGGACAGCTGGGTAGAATGGGCCATGCGAGGGGGTACATACTGGGCATCTCATACCATGTGAGGGGGTACTGACTGGGCATCTCATACCATGCAAGGGGGTACAAACTGGGCATCTCATACCATGCATGGGGGTACAAACTGGGCATCTCATACCATGCAAGGGGGTACAAACTGGGCATCTCATACCATGCAAGGGGGTACAAACTGGGCATCTTAAGTTGTACAAGGGCATATAAACTGGGCATCTCATATCAAAGGGGGTACTAATTTGGCATCCTATGTAACGCAATGGGGTACAATCTGGGCATCTCATGTTATATGAGGGGGTACAAACTGGGCATCTCAAGTTATACAAGTTCTACTAATTGTTTTCTAGCACTGAAGGCTTGCTTATGGTTATCAGGTAGACATTTTTTTTGATTGTTGTGATGTTTATCTATGCATTGTTCACTTATTTACCGATACCAAGATTACCTTAGCGAGTCAGTCTTATTTATGTTATATTACATTGTTCATGTTGTGTGACCTATTTAGGTGGGAGGTAAGGGGGAAGGAAAGAAGGGACTCCACATTATGTGCCCCCAACCCAGGGCACACTAGAGCCTTCAATTGGCCCTGGGCTGGGCAGAAGATTTACATATCACCCCCTTGATTGCTAAAGGTGGCCATATACTTTACAACCATCGCAAGACCCTACTCTTGCGATGGTTGTAAAGTAATTTAAAAAACGTACGATCTGCCCATCTTGCACAGGCAAATCGTACTTGCGATCATTGAAAGCCCGTCCCCCTGAGGGGCGGGTTTCCGATGACCGCAATGCTGAATGGGCAGTGTGCGCGTGCGCACACCGGCCCGTTCGGCATTTGTCTCCCGAGCATCATTCAAACCAGCCGAAAATCGTAAGATTTTCGTCTGGTTTTCTAGCATGCTCCTTAGACAAAAGACGTGCGACCGTACAGTAGAAACGGTCGCACGTCTTCATTCACACTGCACGATTCTCGTACGATTGCGGGATTTCCCACAATTCTCATATGAGAATCGTGCAGTGTATGAGCACCTTTACTTTGTACTGTTTTATATGGTATTTGTTTTGCTTTTTTTGTATTTCATTTGACATTTTCAAAAATAGAGGACATTAATAAAACTAGAGAAGATGGAAAACAAAGCATTTTCTTCCCTGTGCAGAATTACCGATGTGTCTTTTGTCTATGTTCTACTATATTGTCATTTTACTAATGAGGCAAATTAACAGTTAAAGGAGAACTATGAGTTGAGTGCTTTTCACTCACCTCCTAGTTCTAGCCGACCTGTGACAATGAGACTGTCACAGGTCGGCTCAGTAGATCGGGAGGTGAGCGAACACATACCGGGTTCGCTCACCTCTCGATCCTGTCACGCTCTCTGCCGTGACAGGGGGAGGGGCTGGATTCCCCTCTCCCCGCTCCGATCTGCCAGCTCTGACTGGCGGAACGGACGGGGGAGGGGGCGGGTTCAGCTGGCTCTGCCTCTAGATAGGCAGAGCCAGATGTCACTCACGCAGCTGGGCGGATCCCGTCATCTAAGTCGGGATACGCTCCGGCGTCTCAGTATACCGCGAGCTGTAGCTCGCGGTATACTGAGCTTAGGGTAACAGGAGGACGCTAGTTTGTGTCCTTCCGTTACCCTAAGGAGAACTATGGGGAAAAACACTGACCCCATAGTTCTCCTTTAAGTTTATCATCTCTGTTTGGTTCTTGTCAGCAACTGGGAATGAAGGACAACTAATTGGCCCCAAGTATTGCCCCTTGCTCCCCACATCCGTGTGTTGCTATACAGGATTTGCAAGAGGCTGCCATAAAGTCAAATTCGGGTGTTTATACTAAATGCATTTAATATGAAATAACTATATATTCATGGTTGTGTGGAGTTCATCTTTAAATTCCGGCCCTAACTTTTACTCACCTTCCCTTTACTCCCCTACTGTGCCATTAACTGCTGGGTATGAAGACAAAAGCATGGCGGCATGTCACGGACTGCCCTCCAGCTCCTTTGACAGAACTGGTGCATGGCCACCATGAGGGCCAGGAGAAGGTCCTCAGTCCTGTGTAAGCTCTGACTAGGATCGACCTACAAAGGGCTTCTTCTACCTGCTGCTGCCAGTGGGAGCAAGGCATGTAAGTGAACTAAAGGCAAATATAAGCCGGGGAAGGGGCCAAAGCACAGGACCTGGTCTAGTCCAGGGCGGATTGAAAATCTACGGACCCAAACAGAGTGTGACATTTTTTTTTTCTAAAACAAAAATCATTTATTTTTCCTTCTTAACTTTTCTCTGATTTGATAATTCATTAATTTTTTTATCTATTTTTCTCTGCAAGTGAGCTTTCTTCGTAGGGTCTAGTGAGTGGTCTTTGTGCCCGCTTCCTGCATAGATCACTCCTTCCCGACTGATTCTTGCCCGGGCACGTGCCTTGACTCTTTCACCACACCCATGGACCTGCAATACAAGCACCAAGAGCAAAAGTTCAATATAAAAATGTACTTTGAACAGCTGCAACATTATACAAAGCTATACACTGCCTTCTGAAGGGAGATTCTCGAACAGGAACTGGAGGGAAATCTCCCCAATGCGACACAGATGACAAAAAAGACCGACAGGGTGTTATAACCCTCCCTTACTCTATCCAACAACAACAAAAAAGTGTTGGCTTCAGCTTTACTGTAAGCAGTATCAGCATATGTTAGTTAATCTAACAATAACTATGACTAATCTGCATTCCTGAATCATTTTTATATATATTTTTCAGGACACAAGGTTTTTATTAAAAAGTCTCTATTTTTAAATTACAGGCTCACAATTTTCAGCTTCATTTTTTGTTATTTTTAATAATACAAGTATTTGTGGCAGCTGAACTATAAAATACATGGCACTGCAGATGAACACTGTAGCCTTATATATTTGTCAAAGGATCCTTTAGCCCCTTGGTTCTCAACTAGCGGGTCGTGACCCAAAAGTGGATTGCTACTCCGTGTTCCGCCTTCCACTTTTCCAAGCAAGAGGGTCCTCTGGCTTCCCCTAGGCAGAGGACACTGTCCCCCCTAGAATACCAGGAAATATAAAGGATACTGTTCCCCTTAGAATACCAGGACATATAAAGGACACTGTCCCCCCTAGAATACCAGGAAATATAAAGGATACTGTTCCCCTTAGAATACCAGGACATATAAAGGACACTGTCCCCCCTAGAATACCAGGAAATATAAAGGATACTGTTCCCCTTAGAATACCAGGACATATAAAGGACACTGTCCCCCCTAGAATACCAGGAAATATAAAGGATACTGTTCCCCTTAGAATACCAGGACATATAAAGGACACTGTCCCCCCTAGAATACCAGGAAATATAAAGGATACTGTTCCCCTTAGAATACCAGGACATATAAAGGACACTGTCCCCCCTAGAATACCAGGAAATATAAAGGATACTGTTCCCCTTAGAATACCAGGACATATAAAGGACACTGTCCCCCCTAGAATACCAGGAAATATAAAGGATACTGTTCCCCTTAGAATACCAGGACATATAAAGGACACTGTCCCCCCTAGAATACCAGGAAATATAAAGGATACTGTTCCCCTTAGAATACCAGGACATATAAAGGACACTGTCCCCCCTAGAATACCAGGAAATATAAAGGATACTGTTCCCCTTAGAATACCAGGACATATAAAGGACACTGTCCCCCCTAGAATACCAGGAAATATAAAGGATACTGTTCCCCTTAGAATACCAGGACATATAAAGGACACTGTCCCCCCTAGAATACCAGGAAATATAAAGGATACTGTTCCCCTTAGAATACCAGGACATATAAAGGACACTGTCCCCCCTAGAATACCAGGAAATATAAAGGATACTGTTCCCCTTAGAATACCAGGACATATAAAGGACACTGTCCCCCCTAGAATACCAGGAAATATAAAGGATACTGTTCCCCTTAGAATACCAGGACATATAAAGGACACTGTCCCCCCTAGAATACCAGGAAATATAAAGGATACTGTTCCCCTTAGAATACCAGGACATATAAAGGACACTGTCCCCCCTAGAATACCAGGAAATATAAAGGATACTGTTCCCCTTAGAATACCAGGACATATAAAGGACACTGTCCCCCCTAGAATACCAGGAAATATAAAGGATACTGTTCCCCTTAGAATACCAGGACATATAAAGGACACTGTCCCCCCTAGAATACCAGGAAATATAAAGGATACTGTTCCCCTTAGAATACCAGGACATATAAAGGACACTGTCCCCCCTAGAATACCAGGAAATATAAAGGATACTGTTCCCCTTAGAATACCAGGACATATAAAGGACACTGTCCCCCCTAGAATACCAGGAAATATAAAGGACACTGTCCCCCCTAGAATACCAGGACATCTATTAAACCAATTTTTTATGCCGGGTGGGGGTCAGGAATGTTAACATAAAAATGATTGACCCAGGCTACGAGAGAGAGAGAGAGCTACCACACTCCATTTGTAAGGTAAATGCCTGAGTGCACATTAACAATAATATCCATACAAATCCAAAGCAGATGAAGAAGCAAATCCAATTAAGTTCTCCTAAATGTTTCAACCATGGGAGAGACCTGAAATACCCGGAGCTAAAACAATCAATCATGCACGGGGCCAAAACACCTTCTGTATTATACAGATGAGTGACCTGATGAGAATAGGTTCTCCAGACTGCAGGAAACTAGCGCTAACCACTGAACCGTCATGCAACCGAAGTTCTTATTTAGCTTTAGAAGTACCGGTATAGTAAGCAATATATGGAAAAAACAGTGCATGTAATTATAAAACTTTAATGCAGAAGCTCTGTCCTTGACCTGCAGTCCCTCTATTCATGAGATTATCCTCAGGCATCAGGAAGATAATACAAAATCAATTCAATTTAATGGGTGTACTGTATTAAGTGATCCTTAAAATCACACGTAACTAAAGTACAGCAAGAGAAAAAAAAATAACACGCCAGCTCACTATATTTATTATGGTGTTCAGTGCAATTAAAAGGAGTCCATTTATAAAAAAAAATTCACACAAGTTTCAGCCAAGATTCACACATTCTAACTGGATTTACCTAGAAATATGCATAAATTCTGGGTGAAAACTGTGTGAATTGTAGTGTTTGAAGAAGTGAAAAAAAACATCTTTGAAGCAGAACCAAAGGGTCAGTACATCTGAAACTGATATTAAGGTATCAGTGAAACCTGGTAAGTTTGGTCAGCCCCTGGCTTCTTATGTCTTAGACACTCCAACTGGGAATTTCCCCCGATATAATTCCCAATGGTGTTTCAGCCCACCTAGGATTTGTGGTGTTCCAGCCCCCCTTTGGAATTTAGTGACTTCTGAGGCTTTCCGCATAATACAAAATAAGGCTCAATGTGGAGAGCTGAAACCGCTCACTAACAGGGTTATTCACTAAAGGGTGAAGAGTTTGGAGAAGGCAGGAGAAGTGGACAATCTAGGACAACATAGCTGAACTGGAAAGTGAGCTGAATTGGAGAATGTTTCCAAATCACCCATGTTGTCCTAGATTAGTGGTTCTCAACCTTTCTAGGGCCGGGACCCCTTGGTAGCATTTGCCAAGTTGTGGTGACCCCCAACCGTAAAATTTAGGAATGCACCAATACTGTGCATCTGTAGTATCTGGAGGGCTCTCAGGTGGCTAGTGGGACTCTCTGTTGGAGTTCAGTGTGGGCTCTGTGGTGCCCAGTGCGGGCTCTGTGGTGATCAAGCACTCACCTCCCCTCACTCCTGCCTGCTCCCCTCTCTCTGATCCTCTCTGGCCACTGCTGCTGTAGGGCCATCTAGGAGAACTGACACTGCTGCGCTAAGAGGAGGCTGAGGAGCCTCTTACCTAGAGCAGCACAAGGCATGTGGGGACCCCCTCAACTCCACTTTTGGGTCGTGACCCACAGGTTGAGAACCACTGCCCTAGAGTGTTCCCTTCTCCTGCCTTCTCCAAACTCTTCACCCTTTTGTGAATAACCCTGTAAGTGTTCAAATCCAGGAACTAAAAAGCACAGAGATGTCATCAATAGAGTCCATGAAAGACATTAGATGCGGTCAGTATACCATCATACTTGGCAAAGGCTTTGAAGCACAAAAGGTATTATATAGCACAAGGAGCATAAGGATATCACATATGACAAGGGAATCATAAACGTGTTCTCCGATTCTAAAAAAGCAAGATCAGAAAGGTCCCTGTGTCCTGTAATGGTGTAAGGCGGGTCAGATAATGGAGTCCGGGCGGGGGAACACAGACATGCGACACTCTCTGAAGTGTTGAATACTAAGGAGTCTTATGGAAGCTGCAGAACTGGACCGGAGGGAAGGTAAGAGACTTGGGGTGCCGGAGAGCGGAGCATAAAAGCTTTTCTATTGCAGGGACTATTTATCTGGCTCTCCGTTCACCCCGACAGGGTCACGTTAAAATGCTACATTGTAAATTCAGCCTTAATGTGGTCCCTTTCTCTGGCTGACAGTCCTGACTGCTGGCAAAATCATTATATGTACTTGTATTGAACAGCTCCTCCTGCATTCACCTTTCCTGCTAGTTATAAATTGATGAGCTGCTTGTCATTTCTCTTTGCAGTGTTTTGACACCCTCCCCAATCGTTTGTGCTCTACAGTTGCAGAAGCTGAAGAGCGATTGTGCCAAAATCTCCTGCATCACATAACACGAAATCCAAAAAAAATATACAATATATAATACTCTTTATAAAAGTTGCAATCACAAGACTCATTAAGACACTCACAATAATGGGAGCTATTATCTCATGCGTTCTAGTGGTTCAACCGTAAGAGCTACGCGGCAGGGCCACTGTGTCTAGAACAATGATTACCCATCATGCTGTGGAATATCAACTACAGATCATGCTGTCAGTAATATACGGGAATTCAGATAAAAATGACAAAGCAGGAGGCCGTTCAAGTAGTTACTCGCTTCCACTCTATTTGTCCTGCACATCAATAGAAGTGCTAGTCAATGTGTGATGTCTGTCAGTATATCGTGCTGATCTATGGATTGCTGTGCGCTGCAGACGTGCCCTGAATCGGAAGATCGCGTGGAGGACGATTTCTCATGATGACAACAATAAAACCATCGAATGGGGAGGAAATTACACAGCCACTATCTGGAGATCAATCTGGAAATGTTATTACAATGAATGCAAATTCCATGTAAAGCAAACAGTTCTCTTATTAGGGAAATGCTCTATAGGAAATTAAATCCATCTCAGCCGCATACCCGGGTATGATTAGTAACAAGGATTTGGATTTAGAGAATGCCGAACTTTGTATTAAGATTTTGCAGCTTTTGATGTGTCCTGATCTTAATAAGTAATAATCATTCAGTGGGCTTTCTCCTACTTGCTCTATATTGTTCTGCTCTATGCCACGCCATGAGTCATGTCTCACCCATAATGCACTCTGTCGCTACCTGGAACACACACAAGGGGATCAGAAAGCTCATTGCAGACGAGTCTAATTAAAACTCAAACTGAAATCATTTCTACATAAAACAAACTCACTCTGACAGATAGATGCCAGCTGTCTAAATCAGTGGCTAAACCTGTGTAACCTCAGGACCCACATTTGTCCTAGGTCATTAAGTAGTGACCCAAGTCACACTGCAATGGAATGCACGGCATTGCAGTACTGGGCGATTGGGTGCAGGCAATCGGAATGTGGGTGGGAGGTTTGTTTGGGGTGTCACTCAAATTAATGGCAACGCACCTTCCACACCAGAACGCGCAGCATCCCACAATGCACTTAAAGGAGAACTATGAGATGATTGATTTCCACTCACCTCATAGTTCTAGCCGACCTGTGACAATGAGACTGTCACAGGTCGGCTCAGTAGATCGGGAGGTGAGCGAACACATACCGGCGTTCGCTCACCTCTCGATCCTGTCACGGCTCTCTGCCGTGACAGGGGGAGGGGCTGGATTCCCCTCTCCCCGCTCCGATCTGCCAGCGCTGACTGGTGGAACGGACGGGGGAGGGGCGGGTACAGCTGGCTCTGCCTCTAGATAGGCAGAGCCAGCTGTCACTCACGCAGCTGGGCGGATCTCGACGTCGATACCGCTCGCGGTATACTGAGCTTAGGGTAACGGGAGGACGCTAGTTTGTGTCCTCCCGTTACCATAAGGAGAACTATGGTGAAAAACACTGACCCCATAGTTCTCCTTTAAATCTCACCACACATGTTATACTCCTGCCTTGAAAAACAGGATTCTTTGTATCAAAGTCAGACAATCCTTTGTTTAAATTAATCAGCCCCGCTTAGTGCAGAAAATGACTATAACAGTAAAAGGGAACCACATTACTGTAATAAACCAAGGACTAAGAAACCCAATTGAGAGTGATTGGTTTGCATGTTAATATAATATTAGTTAGTTAACAACTAAACAGTCTAATTAGAGCTTCCCACAGGACAACGCTGGGAACAGCTGTTCTCTTCCAAAGATTGTAGACATTTATATAGGTCATGTGATCTGGCATATCAGTTGGGTCTGGAGGCATTTGGGGACAAGTCCATTAACTCCTTCTCGCACGGGGGCAGATTCTGCTGAGTTATCAGCCCCAGTATTTGGAAAAGAACATTTTGTGCCATTGCTGCTCAGTGTTGTCCTCAGCCGACTCTCACTGGACACAATTTAACAGCTGCCTTTGCTCGGAAAAATTGTCAGCAGATCACAAAAATTAACTCTTTTTCTGTCTCAAGCAGGGGCACCTTAAACATTTTATTTTAACTGCAGATCCTGCAAGCGATCGGACGCCTGACCGCTTGTATGTAAACAGCCATCGCTGGCTGTTTACATGCTGACGGTTTTCCCTCTCGTGTGCGGCGCTCAGCGCGGACACGAGAGGGAGGAGGGGCAGGACGTCTTAAGACGCCCTCCCGCTCTGAGCAGACGTCCATCTGGCCGTTCACAAACGGCCATGGACGTAAGGTAGTTAAAGGACAGTGTTTCCAGAAAATTTTACTGCATTGCATATTACTGCATTGCTTTTACAGGGGAATGGGCATTCAAGGGGATTTATGGGGCACCTTTCTTTTTCCATATTTCTCTTATGGCTCTTGCCATTGCCTGCTATATGCTGAGAGCGCAGAGCCGCGCTGCAGCCGGGACAGATACTGACAATATTGTCGGGATCCACCCACCCACTGCTAGATTGACAGCTGCCTATCTAGAGACAGAGCCAGCTATGCCCACCCTGTCCATTCCTCCAGTCAGTGTTGGAGGAATAGAGGGGAGGGGGGAAAATCCCTGTGGCTATGGACTACCAATATCACTTTACTAATTGGCCTAGTACTTTTACATGGAGTGAATCACATACTCCATACATGGAAGTACTACAGTATTTGCCGGCGTATAAGGCGACTGGGTGTATAAGACGACCCCCTAATTTTCCACTTAAAACATAGGTTTTGGGCTATACTAGTCATATAAGACTACCCCACTTCCGAAGCAACACCATTTAAAAACATCATGGATGGATGTGCGGTAATACTGTATGCACGGTAGCTTTGGCTACATACAGTATACCACGCTGAGCCAATCACGACGAGCAATGTATTCTATTAATGAATACAAAGCCTGCTTGGATTGGCAAAGGTTGTGTACATCGCTCGCCGTGATTGGCTCAGCGCAGTATACCGTTATACTGTATGTAGCCTAAGCTACCGTACATCCAGTATTACCGCACATCCAGCGGGCTGACAGATTAGGGATGTTCGTTTTGAGCCAGCTTGGCCTAAACGAACTACAGGTATACATTGTATACGCCGTGTATAAGACGACCCCCGATTTTTGTGGGATGTTTTAAAGTATAAAAAGTGGTCTTATACGCCAGCAAATACAGTAGATATACTTACTTTGTTCCCAGTCGCTGAACAGAATGATAGAAGACTGAAGGAAAGTATATCTTGGGGAGGGGTGGTGGGTTAAATCAAACCGGTTGTTTTGCCTTGAATGGGGTGATAATGACCACAATTGATGATGAGATATCTGCTACCTTTACTCGAACAGCTGAAACCTACCATCTTCTCTGTTATTTGGTAAATGAATGAATGCAGCGCATGAGGGGTGCAGGCCTCTTTTTTTTCACCAAAGGAAAGGAAATGCAAAATTGGCTATGCAGAGCTCTCCCCAGAAAAAAAACAAAACCTAAATGATAAACAAGAGCTTCCAACACTGCAATGAGCATATCATTACTCTGGATATGACCCCAAGCGACCCGATCATTGCAAATGATGCTGAAATATGCTGCTTTGCTTTATTGGGTCGTGTATGCCCACACCGACATCTAGTTCAGCAGTATCTGAAGAAGACTGTAAGAAATGTTACAGCACATTACACGATTAAGGAAACTGACAGATGACTTCAGAAGAACAGGTCTAATAAATGTACTGAAAACGGCATTGATTACCTCTGGAATATGGTGACTGAGGCAGAAACGTTTATTGCAGAGTATGCAGAAATTCCCAACTGTTACTACACTGGCTTTACATTTCCCAAAGCCACATGTATTGTCTGCTTTCACTGCCTCAGCTAGCAGGGAATCGAAGCTGTCCATGTCTGATCTTTCTGCTTCGGATTTATTTCCACTTTTACCTGTAAAAGACAAAAGAAGAAAAAAAAAAAATCTAGAGATCAAAACATATACAAAATAGATGGAAATAACAGCAAATTTCAATCCTAACGCTATGACATTTTTTTTCTAAAGCATCGTGTACCATAAACAACTGACATTTTATTCTAAGCTAATGCTTAATTTCAACTTTTTCGATCCTTCGTGCCATCTCAGTGCTGATTATTTCCTGCAGCCTTTTTTTTTCTTTAAATAAAACACTGTTTTACCTTTTTTTTAACATCCTGTTTTTGCATAGCAGTACTGCTGATCTCATAAGAGTCACTTGCTAGCTTCATGCAAGCACTCCAGCGAAAGCTGCATGACATTTCTCAGGGCAACAGCACAACATGCCTGTGTAATGCATACTGAAACTGTCACCCTGCCACATAATTAAGCAGTAAATAGTGTGCACCACACATTTACCCCACCTATCGCCATATTTTCATGAAAGCTAGGCAATTCCATTTACCTCTAGAAAAAATACTACAATTAGGCAGTCCTAAAATTAGAGAGCAGGCGAGAGTAAAGTAGGCTCTAGTGAGGAAGAGGAGGAAGACTGCACGTGGCTGACAGAATGGAGAGGAGGAAAGTTGAAATGAAGAGGCTAAAAAACAGTGAATGAGAAGGCTCTCGAGGGGCAGGGGCTGATTGCAAAGAAAAGCAGAGAGCAGCCATCCAAATTCATCTAGCAGCACAGCACTGCACCACAGACTGCTGTTAGTTCTGTTGCTTACCCAATGTTAACATACTGGAAATATTTTTGGGTACTGTATCTCAGATGCTCCACTCCTGTTTTTATTGCTGGAAAACAGCTGACTCATCTATACAGATTTGGGCCAATTTCTACTGAGGACTATAGCTTCAATATTCCTGCAAGAATTTGGGATATAGGGTGGGGGTGCAGGGAATATTATTTAAAGTGGACCTGAACTCAGAAAGTCAAGATTTGCTACATCTAGGAGGTGTAAATTGTGCCTCAGCAGTACTATTAGGAATCTATATTTTGTCTTGTGTCCTCCTTAAAAAAGCAGAGCACTGGAGGACATAAACTAGCGTCCTACCGTGACCCAAAGCTCAGTATATAGCAAGCTACAGCTCGCGGTATACTGAGACCGCCGCACCCGGGACGGATCTCGACAATACTGTCTGGATCCACCCAGCTGCGTGATTGACAGCTGACTCTGCCAATCTAGAGGCAGAGCCAGCTGTACCCGCCCCCTCCGCCGCTCGTTCCGCCAGTCAGCGCTGGAGGATCGGAGCGGGGATCCCTGCAGGGAGTCGTGAGTGACAGTCACGGCTCTCTGCAGGGACATGGTCGAGAAGTGAGCGAACGACGGTATGTGTTCGCTCACTTCCCGATCTATTGAGCCGACTTGCGACAGTTTCATTGTCACACGTCGGCTCGAACTATGAGGATGAGTGAAAATCACTTACCTCATAGTTCTCCTTTTAGACTTCCAGCTGTATATCTGCAGTATAAGATCATGTAAAGAAATTATGCCTCTGACTGCTTGTCTCACAAGATTTGGAGTGCAATTTGGGATGGTAACTTCTATGCTGCTCACCATTCCACTTGTTGGAGAGAATGCTGTACCTGAGGACCTTCATTGCTAGGATCTCCCTGCTTCTACTTAATTTACTCTGTGGATCCTTATTGCACATCTACTGCTACTTCTAAATATTTCTGTAACATCACATTTTTATAATATACTGCACTGTGTAATGTCTGTATTTTATACATAACTAGCATAATATCTAGGATCATCTTCCACTTTCAAAAAAGTGGTGACCCCTTCACCCACTGGCCAACCAAATGACAGATCTAAAGAAAAAGAAGAACCCACGTTTTGTATCCATGGCCTTCTTTTCAGCAACTTTTGGCACTGTGGCTTCCTTCTTTATCTTCGCTTTTTCTTCAAGCTTATCTTTCTCCCTGTGCATTCGTTCCATGTGCAAGCGTTTCAAATCAAGGTTACTGGGAGGCGCTTTGCGGCAGATTTCTTTTTCCTCTGCTTCTTTTTCTGATGTCTGTGACTGTAAAGGTTTCTGAGCAACAAAATCATCTAGTGTCTGCGATACGGCTTCGGCTGAAATGACTTTGTGCTTGGAAAGCGTAATACATCTGTTTCCGCCGTCTCCTGTGCTTACATGTTGCAGTCCACATTTCTCTGCTATCTGGTGAACCAGTAATCGCTCATGCGATGTGAGTGTTGAAGGGAACGTTAACTGGGTTTTATCATTATTTGCTATAAAGTCTTCAATCTCTTCCTGCAGTTTGTCCTTGGCTGAACTTTCTGTTTGGTCATCTAAGTTCTTAGAATGCTGAAAGTTCTTAACAGAGTCAGCTTGCTTTGTTCTGTTCTTCTCTTTGGCCTGAGACTCTGTTGTAGTGTTGGGCCTATGACTGCTCAAGTTTGAATTTCCTGATTTTTTTGGCTTTGCTCTGATGTCTTTCTTAACACTGGTTTCTGGTTTGGAACTTTCGTTCTCCTGGGAATATTTCTCAGGGACGATGTCATCGAGGTATTCAAAAGCAGTTCGGACCTCACCGTGTTCATTGAAGTAAGTCACCAGGTCTTTGAGAAATTTGTTGTTGCTGACTGTATGGGAATCACAAATGACAGAAACATGGCGACGGGCACGGGTTATGGCTACGTTGATTCTTCGCTCTTCGCTCAAAAAGCCCACTTCACCTACAAATGACAGCAAAACCATATTGTGTAATAACGCAAAATCCAGAATTTAAAAAAAAAAAACTTTTTCTTGTCAATTCTATAAATTTGAACTCCAAACAAACAGCTGAATGCACAATTAAAATACCTTATTTGGACTTCTTTACCTGCCAAAGGATTTATATTTCTCTTTATTTTCTCTTCTTCAGCCATTTTTTGGCTGAAATAGCGGTGCATCTGTGATTTCACTCCTCCCCGCTGGGCGCCGCTCATTGTCCCAGCGGGGAGGAGAGAAAGCGCTGCGGGGGGAGAGCACAGTGGGCAGTCGGCGTCTCTCCTCCCCGCACTGCTCACCTTCCTGTCACAGATTGGGAGAGCGGTGTGTGGGCGGAGACAGCCAGTGCTGTCACAGGAGGCCGGCGGTGCGGGGCAGGAGAGCTCGATCTGATGGCTGACTCCTCCCCCGCAGCGCTCGCTCAGCCTCCTCTGACAGCATGTGTCAGGAAGGAGAGCTAATACAAACACTCGGTGATCAGTGATCGCTGAGTGTTTGTAAATAATTGAGGACATAGTATGTCCTCAATTATGAATAAATGGGAAGTGATCTACATCACTTCCTGTTCATTCATGATTGTGGTTATAGTAAACATACTATGTCCACAAGTTATGAATGAACAGGAACACTCAGCATAGAGGATTCCTGTTTATATATAACAGGGGCTGCAGCAAAAGAGATTGAAGACTCAATCTCTTTTTCTATTTTAAAAAGGGAAATATCAGGAGTCTGTTTACTGTAGACCCCCGATATTTCCCAGAAGCACCTAAAAGTAAAGTAAAATATAAAAATATTCCATAAAAATAAAATATTTAAAACTGTAAACGTTTATCAAAAATAAATAAAATATGCTTTAAAAATTTAAAAAAGTTATAAAAAAAAAAACATTTTCGGTTTCGGCCCGACATTTTTTTTCATTTCGGTTTTAAAATTTTAATTTAGGTGCACCTCTACTTTTTACTGTG